GCTTCAGCATCCAGCGACGCAGCCACGGCGGCTGCGAATGGGGACTGGGGACGACACTACGGAGCACTGCGCTGTTCGTGCTTGTTCTGCTTTGCACAACCACTCCGGACATACGCTCCGAGCGAACATGATACGACAAGCGCGCGACCTTGGTGATGGGTATGTAGGTAGGCATTCCCTTGCAGAGTTGGTTCGGGGCTTGGAGCATTGCAGCTCGAATGCAACTCTGTGCCCCAATTGCTCCGAATTGTCGCCGCCCTTGACAATTGCTGCCAACGGCAATTCTCTTCTCTTCTCTTCTCTACCAATCTGCTAGTATTGCTTCACGACAGGCAAGTGGCCGCAGTGTCCCGCGTCTGCCCGGCCCTGTGGATCTTCGAGAGAGGGGAGTGCTAATCGGCTGCTAGGTAACATGGAATCGTGTACTTGTAGGCTTACAGCCTCATCGGACGGGTTGCAAATCGCCAGATGACGCTCGTCCTTGACGGATTGACTCGGGCCTGCATGCCCTAGCCGCAAAGAAAGACGAAGACGTGCAGACGAGAATCAAGAGGAAAGGTAAAAAAACAGGAAAAATCGCACTTGCCTACCGTCCAATCGAGTACTTGGCACTCCGTCCAACATGGATGATCCCTGATGATCTGCCGCCGATAGAAGAAAATGGTCGCTAATGTAAGATTTCCTAGGACTCGGGCCCCAGAGAATCCCCTCATCACAAGCACAAGGCGGTTCAGCTCCGAGAAGACGGCGCAATATGAGCGGCCGCCAGCAGCGCACAAGCCAGTATGGGGTGCGGAGCCGCTTCATCCACGTCGTGTCTCACCGTCGTCTCCATCCTCTGCCCTATGTATGTACCTACTCCATCACAAACGCTTTGTTCACTCCATATTTGGGCCATGTCCTTTGTACACATACCGCGGTGGTAGGCTGAGGCCGGTACTCGTCATATCAGGATCATCAGCAACGCGCGCGAACTCGGCCCCGGCGGGCACATCAATGGGTCTTGCCTTCGGCACGAAATAGCTCGACATAGGCCTCAGATCAGCCCCGTTTGGGGACCCTTGGGCGGCAGATGGGTCAAGCAGGCAAGCATCATGACGCTGGATCGCATAGCCGCCCTCCAATCTCTCCATGCCTTTCATGCCTTGGAGATGGCCTCAAGCCAATACCAGAGTCGCCTCAAGTTTGTTCGATTCGGCTCAGCACCACGCAATCAGCTCACGCCTCAACCCCTTCACTTTCAAGTCCAGTGACCAAAAGTCCATGTGGCTAGCCGCCACGAGGCCGCTGGGGGAGGGGCGCTTGTTGTATTGATTCCCCTTTGGGCCATGTGCTGGCTCTGCCTCGCGCGCTTGTTCGGCCAAGGCTTCCAGATGGCCGGGCTGGTGCGTCCTGCTGCTGACAACGCGCGGGCAAGATGACTTGTGCATCTCCACGCTCAGGCTTGAATCTCCAACCCCAGTTGAGAGGGATGCTTGCTTTGGACGGCCGTTTGCCCTATGTTGGAGCCGCCCATCGAGAGAGAGGTGGAATTGAGAAGGATGCGCGTGTAGGCGGTTCTCTGCTTGGTACCGCGTCCTCATGCTCGATACGGAGTACACAATGCATCAGCTGTCACCAGCATCCACCAAGAGCATCTCGTCGTAATTGACGAGGCTGCTGGCTACGATTTCTGACGAGAGTGAAGCAACGGTGCTCATTGGACGATGCAGGATACGGCCATGGGGCTCAGCAATTGGCACACAGGCCGCTCGTCTTCTCCACCGCGTTAGCTTGGACCTGCGTCTGCATCTGCATGGTTGACGGGATTCGGTTTGGCGTGTGGCAGCAACCGGACGATACTACTACTCGCACGCCTGCTCCATGCTGGAGCCAGGCCTACTAGTAGCAGGACTGGCACACGGGGTGGTCGCATCGCATCCATCGCATCGTATCGCGCATCGCATCGCATCGCCTCGCATGATATCCACGTCTCGTCCGCTGTGCTGTCTCGGCCCCAGCTCGCGGCGATGCGGTCCAGCACACGCAGCAGCGTTGCCTCTCCCCTATTACATACATCAAACCACCGCAATGCCCTCGGCCGCCGAGGCCAATGGCAGCCCGTCCGGGACCCAAAACCATGCAATGCAAGGTACACGTCCTCGTCCGGCCAGTTGTTGGAAGAGGTTAAATGGGCAATTTGCAGAGGAGTAGCCCACTTGGGGCCAGTGACTTGCATGTACAACTGGCACTTGATCAAGCCTGGCCGCACCCCCACAAGCCTCAGCCGTTGGCTGCACGCCCCTCCCGCTTTGGCTTGTGCAGGTATTCTCTTGTACTGCTATCGTCTCCCCCTCTGCTTCCCCACCATCATCTCCAATGTCAACGACTCGACAACTGAATGGCAGAAGAAGGAGACATGGCTCGGGAGGGAGGAGGAAGAGCTCCAAACAACAATGAATGGACATTTACCAGCTACCGCGCAATGCATGACGCTCTTAGTCCTCTACTCGATTCCTCTGCCCGCGAAGCTGGGCTGCGAGCCCGGCCATCGTCCTGAATCGTGATCCGGCCCCAGCTTCCAGCTCCAGCTCCGACGACCGACGCCGGGCTATTCCAGCCCTTGACGGGGGCCGCCGATCAAGAGCGATTTTAGCCCAGCAGGCCATTTGCACATCACCTCCATCTGAGGCCCCGTCCAGCACTCAAAACGGGCTTCGCTTGGTGCTAGCACCTCCGCTAGGAACGGAGTAGTCGTTGCTCATCGACGCTATAGCCTCGCGTAGCCGATGGGAGCTTTCGCTCGGACTGCTTTGACCTGCTTTTGTGCTCTGATAGCGGAGTAGGGGTTTCCTCTTTCCTCATCCTACATGATGCCCGGCATGGTCCATCACGAGCTCACCGGACACCAGCAGCGCCACACAGCGACGCCATGTCACCCCGATGCCTTGTCGCTTTGTCACCTTGCCTCACGTGTTGTGCATCATCTCATCTCATCTCATCTCCGTCTCTCTCGTCGCCCGCTCGGCGCCCACCCTCTTGCTTCCCATGGCCCCAAGACGCACAGCCCTGACGCCCTCTCTCCCCGTCTCCGTTCTCTCCAGCCAAGCGGATTCTTCCTCGGCTGCTGTCGTGTACTTCCCCCATGCATACCATCGAGATCTCCGCACATGCAAGAATTACATTGCCTTGCCTTGCCTGACATGCTTCCCCCCTCCCCCTCCATGCCCGTTGTGGCTAACACTCGCACACATGCCTTCTTACCGGCCTGCCTATCAGATCCGCCGCCTGGCATTGGGGGGGTCCCTTTCCCCTTCTTCTCCTTCCCCGTCATATACAATTATATGTCGTGCAACTCAGCACTGCAGCCACAATCGCATACGTAGTAGCACCTCATTTGATCTGCGTCGCGCCGCAACTGCACCTCGACTGTTCCGACTGGACGTCTGAAGTGGCTTTGCTGTATTGTGCAACACTTTCGTCTTAGCTCTTCCCGTCCCTCAGTTGTCATTTCTCCATGTTTCATTGCTTTTCGTGTCTTTTGCTCGTCTTTTTTCAAATGTCATGTATCAACTGCTTGTCTGATTCATACATGGTGCGTACGTACCTTACGTACATGTACGTGCGCCACGCAAGGCTGGCTCTCTCTTATTGCTGATCCATGGCTCAGCTCGTATACGCGCAGCAGCTCCGCAGCTTGTCCAGCTCACCTCGCCTTGCCTCGCGCAATTTCATAGGCTGCGCTGAACGTGCAGGAAAATAACCCAGAAGACGTGTATCGTCTCATTGAACGCCAAGTTTCTGATTCCCATGCCCATTGATGCATCGATTCTGACCTGTTAATATTGCCCTTTTTTCCCGGTATGCTGCCTTGCCTGCCATTTGTCATCGGAACATCAGACGGTGGCGGCCAATCGCAGTACACCGTCTTCACCTGGCACACAGCCTTCACCAAACCTCAGACCAATGACCGCACAGAATATGAGACAAGGCCAAAAAAAAAGGAAAAAAAGCCTAAAAATCCCCATGCGCAAGGTCAAAACGTGTAGCCCATGTGTCAAGTTGGAGTGAAGCTGGAAAAGCAAGCCATGAGACACGGACCCTTGGCAGGGAAGGGGAAAAAGGGAAAAAAGAAAAAAAGTTCCCGTCCTTCTTTGCCACCGCACCAGCCGCCTACCTATATGTCCCTCTCATTAGCCCATATGACGCATAGGCGGTTTCTCTCCAGTCTTCAATCTTTTTTCTTTCTTTCAGGGTGCATCTTCCACTAGCAATCATGGTTCAAAAGATCAATTGTATTACCTAAGTAGTAGGTTGTCTGTAAGAGGAGATTGCCCAACGACGAAATGCGTCGCGGTTATTGCCATTCTGTGTGATATGATCCCAGCGACTTGCTTCTCTTTTTTGAATTTGTTCTCATTTTCTTGTGATTCCCATCCTGTGCCCCCAAATCCGTTCCATTGAAATTCATGGAAAATAAAAGGAGAAAATAAAAAGGGCGATCTAAAGCAATCAACGCCTGATGGGGTCAACGACATAACGCCACCTCTTGTTAACAGCCAAGAGTCCCTGGCATGCCTCGGTGAGCAAGGGGACTTGCTGTCCCTGCCACACCACCCGGCAGCCCCAAGAAAATCAACCTAGTTTCCATCCATTCCGTCCATTCCGTCCCGTCCGGCCCAATTCCGTCCCATGTGTACCCTTTTCAGCAGGCCCATTATATGCTGTAGTATTGATCCCGCCGTAACGCAATTTGTGGTTTCCACCCCGCCCTGAACAGCCCATAAAAGAAGAAAACAGAACAAGGCATACCTTATTTTTACCATGCCTGATATTCATGATAAAAAAGAGCCAAACCCCAGATCCCATGAAACATGTCATTTCTCGTAGCTCGTGTGAAATCAAATCCCCGACTGGAGAGACGGGGATGGGCTCTCGTTTCAATCATCAAGAGAAGGACCGAGAAGACGCCCAGGAAATTGAAGAAAAAAGCATAACATAAGGGGTTGGTCATGGTCTCATTAGTCCGAGGCGTTGCTGAATCGCATCGAGTGTGGCTGGTCGTGGTGATTCTGCATCTCAGAGCCCTCATGCTTCTCGGACATGATTCTATTCGAATGGTACGAAGTGCCCGAGTCGTAGGCGGCGCAGCCACGCTTCTCCCACACCGAGTCCTGCTCGGTCCGCGTCTGCGTCGGTCGTTCCTTGTGACGGACGTTGTTGTAGCGGATGAGCGAGCTAGGACCAGGAGGGATCGTCAATACCTTGTGTGGTGTTGGCGCCGGCGCGAGCCGCTCCGCATCATTTGCATCACCATCGGCTCGACTGCCCCATGACGTCTGTAATCAACTTGTCAGCATATCGCCTCTGGCTGTGGCTTGCTCGGGAGGAGTCTTCAGGAGCATCGGGAGGTACGAACCATGTTAAGAGTAAAGAGGGCATAGAGCTTGATGAGCCCGTGGAAATATCCAAAGACAATGGAGACGGGAACAAAGACGATGTCGCTGGGGTTTCGCAACAAAAGTCCCATGAGCTTGACAAACTTGGTGAAGGCGAACATGAAGATGAACTGGGCCCAGAAGGCGTAGAGTCGGTAGCGAAGATCCCACTCGCTCGTCGCCAACCAGCACGAGGCAAGCAAAAGCGGGTCGACGACAAAGGCAAGGGAGGTGAAGGTAGCGAAGTGGAGGGCGTAGGTGCACCAGGGCTGTTGTCTATGTTGCAGGTCATCTTTCGTTAGTACACTCGCGCTATTTTAGACACCACGGCGACAAGGGTTTCGAGGCACAACTCACCTCCACACGTGCCGCTCCTGGACCAGGCTGGTCCAGTTGCTTCGCCAGTTGCTGCGCGCCCAGCGGGAGCACTGATAGAGGAACTTGGGGCCGTTCTCCAGCGTCGTCTCAATCTCGCACTCGCGCTCGTACTGGATCCAGGTCTTCCACTGATGGCTCACCAACCAGCGCGTGACAAAGTTGTCGTCGTCAGCATTCAGGATCCACTTTCTCCACTTCTCCGTCTTGAAGCCCTCGAGGAAGGTATGGCTCTTGAGGATTTCGGATCGGTACGCTCCAGTGCGGCCAGACATGCACGAGGTGCCGCCGTCGATGTTGTGCGTGGCCGAGATCTCAAAGTTGCGGCGCTCAATATACGCGGCTCCGAGCCAGTTCCAGATGCGGACGGACCACGGACCAGTCCACACGCGCTTGACTCGCTGGCAGGTGCCGACGCCGCCCATCCTGGGGTCCTCAAAGGGAGCCAGGATCCAGGGCATCAGCGTAGACGGCCAGGTCACGTCGTCGTCAGCCATGATGGTGATGGGAGTCTCAACCGTGGGCAGGGCCTCGCAGACCTGGAGGCGCTTGTTGGCAATGGGCGAGTGCATGACGCGGACCTTGGGGTAGTTGAGCGTCTTGGCCAGCTTGTCGAGTGCCTTGCGCTTGTCATATGTCGTAACGAGGATCAGCTCGGCAGGCTTGCAGGCCAGGATGCTCTGGAGTGACGGGCGCAGCTCCTCAAACGCATTATGAATTGTAGGAATGATGACCGTCACGTCCTCGTTGGTGAACGTTGGCTTGCTGGGGATGGGCTTCGATTTGTAGGTCCAATGGCTGACGCAGTGCACCAGCAGCCGAACGTAGCGGTGCAGCCTAGGGAGAACAACTGTTAGCTGGGGGGCGCTCAATTGAGAAGAGGAAACAAGAAACCGTAGCTGAACTGACCATAGAATCCAGAAGACGCATGCCCAGAATGTTGCTGAGTGCCAGACATCGGACTTGACCAGATGCAATTTGGAGGTGACCAGGGGCATCAGCTTGGCCGGCAGCTCACCAATAAACCAATCCATGATGTGGGGCCAAGGCTGGGATAAGATTTCTCTTGTCGTGTATGCCAGGGCCTCGTCAATTTCTCATGGAGGACTCGGTGTTTTGTCCTGTTCCGGGAGGCAGAAGAAGTCTGCTGCTGCTGCTGGAAAAGGCGTGGAGACTGCGCGGAGGTGCGAGGACTGTGTGGTATTTCGACGACACAGGCCAGAGGAGACGCTGCCGTCTCTTCGCACGCAAGAGGATCGAAAGTATGAGGGATTGACAAGAGGGGGAGATGCAGGCAAGCTGGAAGCAAGGGCCTCTACTTGTAGCCGATCCCCGGATTCTCGAGTTCTGCCCGCTCCCACCGCGCGTGAGGCGAATTTCTGTGACAAGCGAGTGTTCTAACCCAAACGGGGGCGTCTTTTCCAATGACCAGGCTCACGAGAAGCCAGTTGCTGGAGTCTAGACTGTCCAGACCGCCAACGCGCTGCGAACGAAGGAGGAGCGATGCAAAACAAGCCTGGAGAGATGTCGGGACTGCCGTCTAGGTACCTATGCAGGGCAAGGCTTGGAAGAGACGAGGAAAGAGGCCTGACGGGTCGAGATCCGAGATGCCGTGTCGAAGAGGGCCGAGAACACTTTGAAAAAACAGAGCAGTAAAGCAAAGATAAAAATAATGAAGAAGTAAAGAAAAACCCCAGTATAACGAACGGGAAAGAGAAGCTGAAGAGGCTCTAGGAGGCAGACTCTGTCATTGCAGGATCTGAACCACCTTGGCTGCCTCTGGGGTAGAACGGGGAAGACGGAGAAGAGATATTAGTTCGATGAGGAGAGGAGAGAAGGAGGAAGAGGTCGTGGAGTAGAAGAGAGGAGTATGGCAGCCACGATCAATCGAGTCGAGGGGAGTTATATACCAAAAGGCCCATACCCAGACGATGGTCAGGTAGCTTAACCTTACGATACGGCCAGCGTCGACTAGCCGGCGCCATCAAGGATGCTTCCGATATGGTCCTGGTACTACCTAAGGCCAATGCCATGCATGAGCATGGAGACAAAGAGGGTCTCTGTTAGTACCTAGGTAGGTACGTTGTCGAGCCAGATGCGTGCCCTGGAGGAATGTACAAGTGGTGGTACTCGGCGGGAATACCAGTGCAAGTACCTCCACAGGTACTCGTACACGGCCGTGCAGCAGGATGTGCGGGTTGAGGTAAGGCCAGGTATTATTGGCATCCATTCATTTTAGATGCAGCAGGTCGTCGACTTGTCGCCCTAGCAGTTGGTCCCGATAGAAACGAGCCACGGAGGGTAGCATTTGCTGAGCGAATCTGGATGGCGCCAAAGAAGCAGCAGGGTGGATGGCTGTTTCTCGTAGCGGAGAGATGGGCGGAGGGGGGGGCCACCTGTACCTGTACGGGCCAGGCAACATCGAAGGTACAAGGTGGGAGGGGGTACTCCGTAGGCGGTACGAGGTGCCTCTCGAAGGGGTGCGCCGTGCTGCAGAAGGAGGGGAGCAGCATGGGGCGTGGCGCTATTGGGGAGATTCCCAGCCATGTCGCGACTTGTACCGCGCTGCTCTGGGGCTAGCGCCGGGCAGGTTTGGAGTTGGGAAGCTCATTTTAATCCGTACCAAAGGTACAACGACTCCGTCCTCGACCTCAAGAGAATGCGACGAGCAGCTTGTGCTTGTGCTTGCACTTGTGCTTTTGCGCTCCACCATGCCGGGCCTGTTACTGGTCCTGGACTTGAAAGTGATGATGCACATCTGATATCTGGCGGCGAGTAGGTATCTAGGTACCTTACCTTACGTTGCACAAAGGACAGTTGCAATTTGGACGAGACATGAGGTGCGATTTGCTTCCTTGATTGCTCGCACCTGCCATGGCTCGCTCTTGTCGATGCCTTCCCGAACAGCACCGATGCCGCCCTGGCTGTTGCAAGAATGGCAGGCACTACTGTACATATAATGGGGAATCGAGCCAAGTGAGGTGCGATGTACGGGCACATACCTTACCTACAAGTAAGGTATTACCTACCTTAGTATCTCTTGTACCAAGTCCACAAGCAGCAGGAGCCGCCAAAACCTGCGCTTGCCGACCATTTGCATGGCTCGCCCGCACAGAGCGCTAAAAGAGGACCCAGATGGCGCTCTAAGGTAAGGTGGTGATGATGATCCGTCTTGTGCAGACGTTGAGGCACATCGATGCCCATGGTCTCGCGGTTCTTTGTGCTCGCAACGCCCGACCCTCCCCTCGCCAATATGGCCGAATAGACGAGCAGGCCTGGCACATGTACGGAGTGCGTACAAGTATTACGAAGCGCAGGACCCTGGTGATATCGGTTCCAGAACTGCGCCGTGGAGATGGTCCAGAGCACAGAGTGATACGGAAGACAGCGTCCAAAAGGTGAGGCACCCACGGAGCAGAGCACATGCGCCAATGGTGGCGTGAGCTTTTTTTGGTATCCAAGACAATGTCCAACTCAGGCCTCCTCTGTTGAGGTCGGCTTGTGACTCTCAGGTGGGTAGTGGATGCAGAGTATCCTGTGCCAGGGCCTCCTCACTTCGATTTTTCGCCTTCAGCACCTGGCTGACCACTCACAGGCGCCATGTCCATTCGCCCAAGACGCTCGAGAACCATCGATGGACTGGGCTAGGGTCCTTCGGCCAAGCGAGCGTTTGCGAGCAGTCAAATCATCGCCGTGGGGCGATTCACTAGTGAATGCGGGAGGCGAGGACAAGGGCAGCAAACGCAGCAGCGATTTTCGATATTAACTGGAGATTGGAGAAGAAAGAGAGCGCAATAGCGGATAAACTGAAAAGGCAGGGTGCGGCGTCAAGCCTCGTATGACTCCCGGGCGCTCGCCAACAGCATTGAGAACGGCCAGCAGGGCAGACGCAGTCGTACGAAGAGCTCGGCTGCAAAGCCCACCGGGCGATTGGTGGGTTGCTTTGCGTGTAGCTTTCCAAGATGCTGCGCTGCATCGCGTTCTGTGTCGTTGGATGCTGCTACTGCTGCATCTGTCTTGGTGTTGCGTTGCGTTGCGTTGTATTGCCCTGGTCTGCACTCTGCGCTACGACATTGTTATCATTGATCCAAACAGCCGCGACACCATACATGCAGCTTCAACGTACAACGCTGGTCGCTTACTGTATGTGCCTGCGTATCTACCGGGGAAGATGCTTTAGATGAGAAAGCGAGAGCTACAGTTGTGAAGAGTATGTGTCCATGTCGAAGAGGCCTACTCGATAACAGCCAAGCCGAGTAAGTTTCTACATCGACGACGTTTACTCCGAGCTGTGACTTCATTTGAGAGTTGGCCCAGCAAAGTGCCTCTTTGGCCAAGATACTTACTTGGTCAACCTCGTGGAACATTGAAGCTGCAACTGGGCCCTGTCAAGACAACTCTGCTAATTTTGAATAGCATTTGACAGTTGGTTACATGTACCACCTTGAGCACCGTCTACCAGGTATTCCGCCGGCCAGGCTGCCTCTCGTTCTCTACCGACGCCTTACACCCGAATACTTCGTACTACATGCTCACATACTGCAAGTTGTGTTCCAAGGTAGGTCGAAAAGGGTGGCTAGGACGCAGTGCTCTCCCTTGAGAGTCTGTACTACTCTAGATGCAGCAAGAGCCAGACGATGCTCAGCAGGCTTGCGTATCTGCCCGGGATCCCTGTGCTTTACGTGCCTGTGTCGTCTGCTGAGTTTGAGATGCCTTGCATGGCTGTCCCGACGTCTCACGCACCAGACTAGAAGCAAGATTGCGAGACAACAAAGAAGCAGCATTGCAGGCTCAACTTCTCGACTCTTGCCCTGCCCAACCGCAGACACCGTGTCTGTCTGGCAGCCGGCCTTGGGATGCAGGTACAAATAATTGAGTGCTCCGTACGGGTGGCCTCATCGCGCCTTGTCGCATCTGCTCCGTCTAATCCAGGCTCTTTGCTGTTTCGCCATACAGAGGCGGCAAATCTGATACGACTTGGTTCGATCATCTCCTTGAAGCCAGCCGCCTGCAGAGTTTGGCCATCAGTTGCCTCCACGCCATTTGACTTGCGTTTGCGTATCACAGACATGTACGAAACACGTCGTTGCAGCACGAGCATGGGAAGCGTTTTGAGCATGCATGCAAAATTGTCTCCGGCATGACGAATGGCCAGTTGGTCTACCAAGCAAAAGCAAAGCACACCAGCGAGGACCCAAGATGATTTGCCCAAGGCATGCGCCCTGGCTAATTTGGACTCGGGTGATGGGCACTCCGCGCCACGGACGACGGCGGCAGATCGTGGCGGCCAACGGTCCGGTCTCAGCGTCTTTGTGTAGGAGCTGTACATACCGTTGCACGACAGTCGTATATGTACGAGTGCGGGAGTCGAGGTGAGGCATGTGGTGCAACAATTCACCTGACAACTACATGAACTAACTCTGATAAGGCGAGGACGTGCACAAGAGCAGACACATCCCCGCGCTCTGTGGGACGCCCTGCATATCTGCCCTCTGTACGCTGCCATTCCTGGCTCAAAGAGCCGCAACGAGCACGACTAACAGCTTATTCTCATTGCGGAACTGGCACAAACCAAAGGCGGATGCTTTCCGTGTCATTTCATACTCTCTTTGTGTTGTGCTGGCAAAGGACATTGATGAGGAAATGTGGCCGAGAATTTTCGTGGTCCAAACAGCTGCTTCCACGAAGCCAACAGTCAATTGAGACATCGGGGCTCGAACTCTCGAGGTGCAGGCCTTGTAAGATGCTTGTAGCTTCAGGTACGTTTGCCCGTACGACAGACACAAGGAGCAGGGGAGAAGAAGCCTGAATGGTATCTGACTGGCCCTTGCACCTGCACAAGCAACGGAATGCACCAGCCTTCCTAAAGTCCCTTTACCTTATGCCTCGTCCATTCGCTTGAATTGGCATGAATTATTCCGACTACTACTCTGGACTTGTGCGCTCGCGAGAGAACTGAGGCGTCCTTGGGGTTTCTTGGACAACATCGCAGGCCAGA